ATATTGTTGCAATAAACCAGTGAACCTTCTTGCAAAAAAGTATGGTATAAACTCTGTCTTACAATATCTGTACCAGTAAAATGATGTCCCTGGAGAAAGTAAGTTCTTAGCCCAAAATACGGACCCCAAAATCTCTGAAGAATCCTTTGGAAGGCCCAAATCTCTCACTAAATCATTAAGGTTGAAAACAATCCCTATCATCTTTTCTATTGACATCAGATTCAGAATCAGATGAAACTGTATCAAGAGTAGGTATAGCTACATAAGGTCCATGAACAACAGGTCTTATAGCAGATTGAAGGTTTGGATATGAAATTTCCTTTTTATTCAAGTGTTGTAGCCTTGCGCATTACATAAGCAAAAATAGTAGTCATCTCCGTGGTTTCTAGGCTCACATCAAACCACTGGAATTTCAAAAGGCAAAGACATTTTCTTACCTTTAGTCCATTGTCTCAACTCTTCAACACAAATGGTGCAAACTTTGTGCGGAGCCCATGATTTGTCTTGGTCGCCAAGTTTTATTCCAAAATATGCATAAGACACTTTTTGACAAATTCTGTAATGTTTTGCCTTTGTTTCTTTACAACAAATTTATCATAAATATAACAGAATATGTTTGGGTCATTTATGCAACCTCTTGTTGCCATAGCAATGAATAAACAATATTGAAAAGAAAAAAATAATGTCAAAGTGCACACAAAAACAAATACTATCCAGAAATGACACGTCATGCTGCCTGTTAACCATTTATATAGTAGCAGCGTGTTTCTTGTGGGTTCTAGAATGATCGATAAGACTCACATTGTGATTGGTCTAGAGAAATCTACAGCTAGTGATTGTTAACATTCTAAACATAACAAAATGTGACCCAATTTCAATGAAAACGATTCACTTATGTAAAAGTACATATGACGTTTTGTGAAAAATCTGAACGTGATGGAGATAAATGAATATCATTTTTGGATTCAGTACACAGGAATTACTGTAGAACATGTAAAAATTTCAAAACAATAAAACCATCATAGGCCTGTGTATTTTATTTAACTGTAATTGTGACTAAAATCAAAATAGCCCTTCCAATCATTTTTAAAAGTTTAAACATCATGAGTTACAAATATCCAATAAACATGTTCCATCACTGCAAAATGGCAATACTAAAATAATTAAAATTTTTTACACACAGGAAATATTTCACCTAAGATAACAGTATTAATGTGGATGTCGTAACTGAAACTTGTCTCTGTAACTATGTGATCTGTTGTTTTTAAAAATCCTACAAAAATAGAACAATCACTTTATCCTACAAAAGTTGCATATGCTAAAAGAAACAACCCAATAAAAAAACTTACTAAGAAGAAGAGGCAGACGTTCGTCATGTCCTAAAGCACTGGATATAACCTCATCTGTCATCAAGTCTGCCTAGAAATGTATAGGAAACACTGCTTTACTTATTTATATACAATTACCATCATTTACAGGCACATAATTAATATTCACATCAGATATATATCACTGAAAATACATATTACTATCTTATTCCCAATTTCAATTTTGAAGATCCAAAACAAATCTTTAAAGTCATTGTGGACAAATAGGTCCCATATTGTCCCAAAATGTGATGTTATATTATATGCACTAATTTCTCACAGCACAGACTTGAGGTAGTGCAAGTATCACGATAAATTTTGACTATACATATATTAGTTTGACCACCTGCTGTGAGGACAGGTGATGACCTATTTTATCTAATTCTTTTAATAACCTATTTTGTAATTCTTTTTGGTTTGGTCTTCCATAACAATCAGAAAAGTAAATCAGCAACACTTCATTTGTGGTCACTAAAATTTGCTGAGAGAAACAGTTACAAATAAGGATGGTCAGCAGTAAAGCCACATAACTAGCAATAAGGATGTTAGAACAAATACCTATTCTGTTGTAACAATGTCTGTTGTTGAGTGGTTTCTTTTTGGATTATTTGGTAAAAACAAGAATGCTAATTCCAGTCCATTTAATACTAACAAATTTTTTTATTTCTCTGTCAACAAATTCTACACATACAGTTTCAAATAACTAATGTTAGGCCTAACTTCAAAGATAAAAAAGATTCCACTTTCTTGCTAATTTCTTGTATGTACAGTACTTCTTGTATCTCTACTATTTCACTTAAAGCACAAGTTCAAAATTTACACTAAACTAAATAAATGGCAGACTCAATAATGAACTCCTTTAGTCTTGCCTAACTAGCATTCTACATTGTTCAAATCATATACTAATCATCACAACATGCATTCATCACATGAAAACTCTTTTTACCCCAAAACAACGCAAACATCTAAATTAGGAAAAAACAACTTACAACAGTTTCATGTTCACTTTCTGTAAGAGAAAAGATGACATTTTAACAGGAAAAGTATTTCATCTGGATTTTTAATTTTTGTATTAGCTGAGTATTCAAGTTTAAGTGTAAAATTTATACTTTTGAATCAACCACATATAATTGTACACATTTTTGAGTGAACAATTACAAATCAGATTAACATGCCTCAAAGTTATGTGACCCTTGACCTCCCTTAACCTTAGTCATCACTAATGTCAAGGTCAAGTTTGACCTTTAAACTAATTTCATATGAAAAAATCTATATTTATATAAAAATTCATGTGTATTAAACTCAATACACACACATGCATAGATGATTATTTCCATGTATTATATATTTACAAACTGGTGTCATATTAATAAATGTAACATACGCACATGTATAGGGATAGTTATTTCCATGTGCTGTATATGTACAAACTTGAGTCACATTATTAAACATAACACACATGTAACGATAGTTATTTCCATGTATCGTATATGTATACAAACTTGAGTCACATTATTAAACATAAAACATGTGTAACGATAGTTATTTCCATGTGCTGTATATGTACAAACCTGAGTCACATTATTAAACATAAAACATGTGTAACGATAGTTATTTCCATGTGCTGTATATGTACAAACCTGAGTCACATTATTAAACATAACACGATAGTTATTTCCATGTAACATATGACATGATTCCTTACCACCAACTCTGATTGACAATTAATTGGTGATATCTGCATTTCTTCTTTTTTTATTACTTTTTTGAAATGTCGTACAGCATGGCGATGGACCATGGCATTGGCAGCAGCCATTGCCTCAATGACAAAAGTAGTGGTCAGGTAACTAGAATAAGAAATAAAATTACCAAATTCTTATACCTCATCATACAAATAATGTATCTTTTTCTAGCTGTTATTTATTCTGATGAACATGAAGCTTTAAATTAATATTACTTATTTCAAGTACAAGTTTTTACACCCACCATTAACATAATGTAAAAGTTCCTCTAGTTTTGCAACAAAATTACAGATTGAACTTTTAGTAAGTGTAAAAACATTGTAAGAATAATCAATCTAGCATTCTTCATGCATGAAACATGGCTTTTATTTCATTTATAAATTACACCAACTATAGTCCCAAAAGCATTTGAAAGTATAATAATGGCACAGTTCTCAGTTACTTGAAGAAATTAAATAAATCAATGTATAAAACGTTTAGTAACTTAAAAAATCACAAGAGGATAAAACAAACCCTTACTTTTTTGACAAAAAACTGCTTTGAAATATGAAGATAAAGATACATTAAATCCTCAAATGAAATTTAACATTTGCCTTACCTGAAAATGTATTTCGGGTAGATACTCACCTTCTCACTTACAAATGCTATCTTCCTCGCACATCTGCCTATGAGATTTACATAATGCTATCTTCCTCGCACATCTGCCCGGAAGATAGCATAATATAAATCTCATTCGCACATCTGCCCATGAGATTTACGTAATACTATCATCCTTGCAGATCTGCCTAGGAGATTTACATAATGCTATCTTCCTAGCACATCTGCCTATGAGATTTACGTAATGCTATATTCCTCACACATGTGCCTATGAGATTTACCAAATACTGAGTGGACATGAAAAAGGACTTAGATCTCATGACAAACCATTGCAACCAAGTTGCCTCCTCTAAAAGAAGTGATATGAGAAGAGGATACCATCTGAAAATAGGTCAACAGATGTCAATTGTCCAAAAAAAGGAATGCCAGCCCTGGACCATGAATATGGTGAGCATTGGCCCTCACAATACAACTAAATACCAAAAAGGCCAATGCTACTTCAAAGAGAAGACTAAGGAATTGGACAATGAAAGTTTCATGGACAGAACATAGAAAACATATAGAAGATGGATTAAGAGCAATGTGTAGGAAACTGTATGATGCATCTAATATGGCCAACCTTAGACCAGGTGAAAAATACCATAGATAGGGTCAGAGGAAGGAAAAAAAGGAAATGGGAAGAGAAGCAAAGAGAAGTGAAGCGATGAGCGAGACAGTGGTGGAGAACTGTCAGCAGAACATGAGACCAACAGCAGGAGAAGAGGAATAAATGGGTACCCACATGTTCAAACATGACATGACAGTCACTGAAAAGTAGAGTGATGAACTAGATGTCCGATAAAGGGAGGACAAGAAAAAGAATAAGGACTGGAACCTGTAAGGGGGAAGTTATGGGTAGCCTAATCCAGATAATGAACAGAAGTAACAGCCAAGGTCAAGAAAGAATAAAACCTGGAAAGGAATGAAGTCATACAAGGTCAGTCCAGGCCTCCAGAGAGGAATGAACACTACCAAAGACATCTGTACAAAGAAAGGGAGAAAGGTGTACAGTAAAGGGGAACATAACCTGACTAATGAATTCCAACATCAGGGAAACAAAGTAAGGAAGAATAAAGCAGAAGTGGAACAGGCTAAGCTGGTAAAGAGAAGAGAACAAACTTCTTTAGAAAATCCCTTTGGAGTATGACGAAATGCCTCAGACAAAAGGTGGACATAGGAGAAGGAATGCATGAAAGTGGTGAGAGAAAAAAAGATGCAAAAATGGGGAACCAGAGAGTGAAATAGAAGGCAAGGGGCTTGATCCCTAAGCAGGCCAAATAGATCTCAAAGACAGGGGAATTGAGAAAGTAATGGAAACATGTCTATAAGTCAGGATAAAAAAAGTCACAAACATGAGGGAGTTGAGGCATTTGGGTGTAAGACAGGAGCTACAGATAAAGTAAACAATATAAACCCTAATAACAAACAAGAAAGAAACACAAGGTAAACCCTAAGAAATGGGATCATGGAGTATAAAACAAGAAATATTAACCCTATCTGTACAGGCATCCTTTACTGCACATGTATGTCTTGAGGTAGTTAGAGACTTGCATTCAAAATTTAATTAAAATACTTTTTGTTTATGTTATACCAATTAATATGGAATTAAATTAGTAGCTAATAATCCATATTTTTAATAGTATATGAGTTTTAAGTTCTTAATTTTATAAGGCAATATAAAAAATAATCCTGAATTTTCCCTAGTTTGAGAAATGTGACATTTTTTCTCTAGGCATCCCCTATTTTCTAATTTATTTACTGCCCCTCCAATAAGTATGAAATTTAACATAAATTACTCACTACAAAAATCATCATCACTCAGACAAAACATAATTTATATAGCCTTCAATTTTGTTTGGTTACACAGCCATTAAATAGAAAATCAGACCCTCTTGCCACATTCATCTGTCACATCCTCACTTTCAGGATTTGTTAATAGTTCTCTCTGACATTTAATTCTATATTTATAACCAATAGAAGGCCAGGGTTTTCCTCTACCAAATGACGTATTATATTACATTGTTTTCTGAACAGAGAATTGTCAATTTCTCTTTTAGTACAAGCTTCATTCCCACAGGAAACATATCGACTAGCTTGGATCAATTTATAACAACTTTTGCTGCATAGTTAGAAAGCCAGAAAAATTGTTTTCATTATGGAACATTGTCTGCATGTTATTATTCTATGTTATTTAGTGCACTACTACCACTAGTATAAAAAAAGTAGGGTTAAGTGTCATCAACACTCAACAGCAAAAAAAAGGTCTAGGTAAGTTTATTAATTCTTGTTTTTCATGTGCATTTTTTATTTATTATTATAAAACTACCTAAAATGTAAAAATAGTAATCTCTTTAGTTTAGTTAAAGTTAGATTAGGTAAAATAAAATAATAAAAATGTTTCATGAGGCATGCACGCAAGCAGCTTGGAGTAGCTCATAGGTAGTGTAATTCAACAGCATAACATGAGCCCCATGTTCCCAAAGTCATTTCCAACTCATAACAACGAGAATAGAAGTTAGACACAGTTCAAAGGGCAATAAAACAATAAAATTTAAGTATAAGTAGATGTATACTGTAATGAGTTTAAAGCTACTTAGGACAAACAAATGTAGTTTCATGTTACAATTTAAAGTCATTTTAGAAAGATAAAAAAAATGGTAATTTAAGATGCATTTCAATTTCTTTTGGTGGTTACAAAGTCGATCAAATTGACCAACCTTGTATAGAGTTAGAGTTGAGAAAATAACAGATAAAATATAAAGTTTTATTAAAAACAAATGTTTGAAATGTATTTAGAAGGTTTTAGAGATTATGCAAATAAAATTTGAGATTTTTGAGATGAAGAAAAGTATTTTTAATGTCAACATGAAAATCGCTTTGCACTCGGACCCCTCTGATTTTTTGTATGTAAAAAGACTTGTAATGTTTTCTGAAAGATACACATACTATATTCTAAGTTAGTAATATCAAAACTTTATAGACTTTAAACAAGTACAAAGTGGTCACGTGATCAGTCAATTCGACTAAGCCCATGTAAAGAGAGTTAAAGCATGTGGTAATCCACAACACATTGAACAATGGCTGAGACATCCTTCACAGTTAACATCTCTCCAGAAGCCATAGTATAAATAAGTCCTGTGTGTGTAATAACAACACTCACATAGGACAAACAATCATTTGGGTATTCATGATAAAAATCAAAGCTTTGTTAACAAATGCAAATCTCAAATTAAAATCAGATGAGTAACTTTGAAGAAGAGGAGAAGAATGAAGTTATCATGAATGCACGTGCATGGGGAAGTTACTGCACATGGAGGTTGTGTCACCATCCTATTGGTGGAGGGCTTTTGTTGAATGATGACATCATCACACATCACCACAGTTCATGTCAAACATGTGAAATAAGGTGGGAGTTACCTCAAGGCTAGTGCCATGCAAATCTCATAAGCAAATGCATGAGGAATATAGAATTTCTGTGTGAGGGGGTGAGTTATCGTCTCAGAAAAATGTTTGTGTTAAAAAACCGTTTGCAAGATAACTTTAAGGTTTAAATATGAAATGATCTCAGTAATAAAAAAACAGTTCAATATTACATACGTTTTACTTTCATGAAGATAGCAATGCAAGATAAAAAATATACTAATTGTTAGTTACGGAATTATTGTATCTGTTGATGAAATCTAATTTACCTAAATCAAAAAATATAGGACAAAGTAACTTTTTATTACCCTAAAAAAGGCGGACAAAATACAAAGAAAATAACTTACAACAAGACAATCTATGGTAAGACAGCTTTTGCTCACTTAGAAAAAAGAAATATAAAAATAAAATGACAAAATTATAAATACCTCATGAAAGCAAGAGCCATGAGGATTAACAAACTGACAAGCCAACCTGCATGGGTAAATGCTGCTGGCATCGTTAGTGCTCCAGTCCCACAATCAAGTTGAAGACATACATGAGGCCAGTCTGTAGAGCAAAAAATAAATGATTTAATATCAAAAACATAACTTTACAAAATATCAAACAGGTACTAGCATTCCAAATTCACATACAAGATATAGTGATAAACTAATGACATAAAGACCAGAGGTAAAAGTGTTGATACACTTTCTTCTGTACATCATGAGTTATTGATTACATACCCCCAGGACAAAATTTATTAATACCTATAAAGGGTTCATTTCTATATCCATACACCCATACAATCACTGGTGTTCTACAATTATTGAATTCTCTGTATAATCACAGCATGAAATTCTTTATAGGTAGAGGGCTCCTTCTCTAACCATCGTAGCAGTAATTCACTATATTTCACAAGTTGCCCAGAGTAGTGTTTGTTGAAATAGGGGGCTCCATCTCCAATTATCATGGCAGTATTTATGAAAGTGCCCAGGGTTGACTTTATAGGTAAGGGAAAATAAAGAATGACTTACACCATTTTCTCATGTTTTTATATTCTGTTTTGTTTTTCATGCCATGAACTGTGTGAAACTGCTGAACAATACAAGTTATTCAACTGATAGTTTGTAGCTGATTACATGAAAGCTTCATTTGCTTTACATTATCTTAAGAAATGTGTGGTCAGGGATGAATCTTTTAATCTTGTATTGAAAGTGTTAATTAGTGTATAAAAAATGTCCAAACTATTAAAAGCTCTATTGCAATCGTAATAATGAAGATAATTATTGATCTCTTCACATCACCTTCTTCTACATGATTTAGATGAAAAGTGTCTTATCTATGATAAAGAATTCCATATGTACATCATCAGAAATACTGATGGATAAGGATAATCCTGGACGTCTGTAGAGGAAACATCAGCTGCTAAAGAAGTCACTAGAGGAAACATCAGCTGCTAAAGAAGTCACTAGTGGAAACATCAGCTGCTAAAGAAGTCACTGGTGGAAATACCAACTAATAAGGAAGTCACTAGAAGAAACATCAGCTGCTAAAGAAGTCACTAGAGGAAATACCAGCTGCTAAAGAAGTTACTAGAGGAAACACCAGCTGCTCAAGTCACTAGATGAAAAATCAGTTGCTAAATAAATCACTGGTGAAACATCTGTTGCTATTTATGTTAGTGGAAACAACAGCTGCTAAACAAGTCATTAGTGGAAACATCAGCTGCTAAAGAAGTCACTAGTGGAAACACCAACTAATAAGGAAGTCACTAGAGGAAACACCAGCTGCTAAAGAAGTCACTAGAGGAAACATCAGCTGCTAAAGAAGTCACTAGAGAAAACATCAGCTGCTAAAGAAGTCACTAGAGGAAACACCAGCTGCTAAAGAAGTCACTAGTGGAAACATCAGCTGCTAAATAAATCACTGGTCACTAGAGGAAACACCAACTGCTAAAGGAGTCACTATAAGTCATTAGAGGTTGAACACCAACTGCTAAAGGAGTCACTATCAGTCATTAGAGGTTGAACACCAACTGCTAAAGAAGTCACTAGAAGAAACACCAGATGTTAAAAAAGTTACTAGAGGAAACAACAGCTGCTAAACAAGGCAATATGGGAAAAATCAGCTGCTAAAGAAGTCATTAGAGGGAACAACAGCTGCTAAAGAAGTCACTAGAGAAAATATCAGCTGATAAGGAAGTCACTAGTGGAAACATCAACTGCTAAAGAAGTCATTAGTGGAAACAACAGCTGCTAAACAAGTCATTAGTGGAAACATCAGCTGCTAAAGAAGTCATCTTTAGCAGTTGATGTTTCCACTAGTGACTTCCTGTTATAGTACAGGACACTGTACTAACAAGATGACAGTTTAGTAGGACTAGAAGTTCCTGCCAGATGCTAAAGTACAGGACACTGTATAACAAGATGACAGTTTAGTAGGACTAGAAGTTCCGTGCCAGATGCTACAGTACAGGACACTGTGTAAAAAGATGACAGTTTAGTTTATTTTTTAGAACTGTATATACAGGAATGATGTTGGAAGTTCAAATAACTGCTGAAAAAGTATAATGAACTCCTTTAGAAGACTATGGTATAATGCAAATTACTAGATGATGGATAGACTTGGAAAACACCGATAGTAGGAATTATTTTAAAATTCCCAGTTATAAGTTATCTAATAGTAATAGATATTTTAAAAGAGGTGGAACATTTCTATACGAGGGATTAACTTGTACCCTGTTCTAATTTAGGATTTAAAAAAAATGGAAGTCAAAAATTTGGATCTATGTGGGTTACAATAGGGGTTTCAGGGATAGAAAGCTTGTATTTGACAGTTGTTATGGCTCACCTGATCAGACATTAATCTCATTGAGAAACTGAATGATGACATTGGGGGTTGTTATGTAAGTAGTGAGGGAAGAGAGGTTTCTTGAAGTTATTCAGGTTTGTTTTATACACCAAATGATCTCATAATGAACTAACAGTTATGATCCTAGATTTATTGTTAAAAACTAATGAAGAAGGAACATTTCAAGAACAGTGATCGGTTAACAACAAAATTTGATGTTCTGCTACATAATGAGAGAAAAAGATAATTTTAGTTCCTAATTTTCAGAAAGTCAATTTTGAGACCACGAGTCAATATTTATCATTAATGAATTGGGATAATGAGTTAAAAAGTGATGTGGAACAGATTTGGAAAATGTGCTTAATAAATTGCTTTTAATATAAATTGGATATATTCCTCATAATAGGAAAAGGATAGCAGAGAATGTTTACTAATGACAAAGGAGAAAATCAGAGATAAATTATGCAAGTTTAAGAGGTTTAAACTGACAGATAAGGTGGAAAATAAACAGAAATATAAAAAAGCTATGGGTTAAAAATATATTAGGAAATCTAACAGTGCTTATGAAAAATTGTTGACTGATAATGTAAACAAAATGTTAAAATATGGATTAGGCCCGTAAAGACTTGTTGAAGGACTGATTTTGAATGTTTTCTTATGTTTTTAGAAAAGAGGATGTTAGCAACATTCCTGAACCTGAATATTCTGTGGGAGATATTAGAACTGACTGGAATAATGTAGATATTATCCTTTGATGCTAAATAAAAAGATGAAAATAGAGAAAGCACCAGGATCAAACAAGGTTTTAAATATCAGATATGAATGCCTTTCTCTCATTATTTATAGATCATTAACCAGTGGGAAGCTGACTTGGGGTTGGAGAATTGCAAATATTTTCAAAAGGTTGATAACAGTTGTTTTGAAACTATACACTATTTAGCCTTACTTCTATCGTGAAAAATACCTTAGAGAGTCTCATAAAAAAAGTTATTACCAAAGAGTGCTAATCTTGCCTTATTAACCTGTTCACTTTTTTTTTTTGTAAGGATAATATTTGTTATCTAGACCAACATTTCTCAAACTGGGGTCCACGAGTCATGTCCAAAATTTCATAAAAATATGATTTATATGATAAAAAATATTTTTTGCAAAATTAAATTTATATGAATTAAAACATTTAATTTTGGAATACAACTTATCATGTACAGAGAATATTTTTTTCCAAACAAAAAACATTGATAGGTTTGGGGGGCCTGCAAAAAAAATGTCAAATTAAAAGGAGTCCTCAAGTTCTTAAAGTTTGAGAACTGCTAACCTAAATGATGAAGAGGGTGTGGACTTAGTGTATTAACTTTCAAAATAATAATTTTAATAAAGTGCCATACAGAAGATTATTTAAAAAAATCACATCAGTGGGGTTGGAGAAAGACTAGTTAATTGAGTGGCTGGATGAAAGACAAGAAGTTATTGTTAATAAACTCCAGTCAAAATGGGCCTATGTTACAATAGAGTGCCTCAGGGATCAGTACTTGGCCTTCGCTTCTTGCTTACTTACATTAATGATATTGATAAGTGCATAAATAGTAAGCTAGTAAAGTTTGCTGATGACATTAAACTTTTGGGTATTTCTAGCTCTATCAAGGATTTTCTATGATAATCTTTTCTTTAGCACCTTATCAAAAGTTTTTGAAAATCTAAACACACCAAATTCACAACCTTTTTATCATCCAGGTAACACCTAAAATCCTTGGAAAAAAAGTTAACAGATTAGTAAGGGAAGATTTAGTGAATCATGTTAGTTTTCATTTATGATCAAATATATCCCTAGATAATTTAGAAAAGTTTCTTTTATCAGAAACTCTTGAATTTCCTCCACTACAAAAGTATTACTAACTGGTTTACAATTTCCAGGACAATTCTTATAATTCACTTTAAAAATAAGATTAATATTATCAAATCTCCAGTCCTCGGATACCTGCCCACTGTCTATCGACCTATCAAAAATGAAAGAAAGAGGACTATATTTATATTTGATCCTTGACCTTCTTTAACACCCTGTTTAAAAACTTTGTCCTGGTGCTTTAGGATTTTTTTACTGACAAGGAATAAATATAGACATGATTCAGGTCGATCCCGTAAAACATTCATAGTCAGCAATATTACTAACATCCTCTCATGTAAAAACAGAAAAAAACATTTAAACGGTCAACCATCTTATAGTCTTCAACAAAAAACTTGTAATCAACATCCTTTAAGGAATTAATACTAATTTTAACATGTAGCTTATACTTAACCTACTTAAAAAAATCCTTGCTGTTTTAATATTATCAGTCAGCTGTTTCTCATAAACCATTTTACATTTATGAATTTTTTATTCTTTGAAATCTATAAATTTCCAATAGTTATGTAAATCTTCAATCCTATATAACAGTTCAAACCTCTTAAACTATTGCCATTTAACCATTGTTTACCCCTTTATGTCTTTAGTAAGACAGCTACATTTGATTTTTTCTGTTATCTTTTTTTCCTCATTTTATAAATACGACAATCTTGAACTAAAAAATATTTATTTTTAAAATTCCCAAATCTGTCCCATGTTGATAGTAAGTTAACAAACAACTATTTGTAAGCACAGTAATATTTATGGTAGAAAACATATGTTTCAACAGTTCCTTGGTCTGTCTTCTTCAAGTTACAGTTGGTAAGTCATACAGTTTATCCTGATTATAACTCACAGAGTTAACTTCTTGATTATCATTCTTTATACATTCATCCCTGACATAAAAACCCACTTTCCACCCCCTCTTTTGAAAAAAATATCTATCACTATTAAATTACCTATAATCCTGAATTTTAAAATAATTCTCATTATCAATACCTTCTAAATCTATCCAAGTTTCAGTAAATCATATTATACTGTAGCCTTATATTTAAACTTGAATCTTGAACTCATCATTCCTGATATTAAGATTAGAATAACAGCAAGATAAGATTATCTTTATATCTGATTTAAGTTTTTTTTACACTATTATTATTTAACTTCTGCTCTAAATCTTTTTACAGTCTCTTCAATGCCCTAGCAACGGATTTAATTTTTCACTTTTCTTCTTGGGATTTTCTGTATGTTACATATCTAAACTTACTACAGTGGAGTAACTTTCTCCGGCATCTGTGTTTCCTCCGGCCATGGTTCAGGTCTAGGAACTTATCTGAAATAAATATTGGTTAAAAAACTTAGTGGATTCATTAATAATTATAACCCCAATATGATTTGTCAGTACTGTAAATTACTAGCCCAGCTTCACTAATAATATTAATAGTAATACTACTGTAAATTAACAAGCTCAGCTTCACTACTAAAATTAATACTAATACTCTTGTAAATTACTAGCCCAGCTTCAATATTAATAGTAATACCACTGTAAATTGTAATGCAAACATTTATTTTACACTTTACTAACTGAAAACAAGTTTAACTAATATTATACTATAGTACTATTACTAAGTTATGAAATACTAACTACAAGTATAACTTTTTTACGTTAAAATTTAAGTATGAAATCCAAAATTTGAGTTTTGGTTCAGCTAACAGCATAAGCAATAACAATTAACACTGAAAAGTAAGTTCCAAAGTCAGTACTCAAATTATTATTGTAATTTCTATAACTTATAACTATAATAGTATAAATGAAAATCATAATACATAATAGAAGCAATTTTCGGATCCTCTTTCAAATTCTAGTGAAAAACACTTCGCTAAAATACAGACGTTAACCTTCCTCAAAATAATGCTTAACAGTAAAATTTCTTCACAATAACATTAATAGCAAGTTAACTTGAATTTTAAATAACATTGGTTTCAATTATTATTAAATTCTAAACTGGAAATGAGTATGAAACAGACACGCGCTTAAACAAAAAGTTAAAGTCTTAAGACTAAGTTCAATTTCAAACTTTAATCAACATTACACACCTCACTGCTCTTGGAGTTTTTTTTTCCTTTTTTATTTAACTAAGAAGTAAAAATGATTATATTTATATTAAATATTTCAATTTGAAAAACCCAGAAAACATATTACTCATCACATGACAACATACTCTGTGCAAACATGCTTTTAAGTTTAACGCCACCTTGATTTATTTTTATATGGAAAGAAAAACCATTCAACTATCCTTAGGAGTTGTGTAATCCTTAATCAAATACACCTAGATTTCTATAACATAATTACATACTTTGATATTAATGATTACATTGAATAATCAATATTCTTTATTTAGTATTGGTTGTCACTTTATTCTTTATTCCATATATATGGTCACAATGGCGAAAATTTATAGAAATGTTAAACATCATTGTTATCCTTTCAATTAGGTCTCAACGAGTTCATTGCAGGTGAAAACTCTACCAACTTTCATTAAACGCTTATAAGAATACAAGACAATCAGTACCGTCGTGGATATTTTGATTATTCAATTCGAGCCAATAAAAAGAGTGAATAATCCGAAAAAGAGAAGACTTTAAAAATGTTTTCGGTTAGAATTTTTTTAATGACATAATTTGTGAGTTTAAGTTACCAAAGACCCGGCAGTTAGGGCGCTCGACTCGTATTCGGTGGGTCACAGGTTCAAATCTTATCACCGAACATGCTCAGCCTTTTAGCTGTGGAGACGTTATAATGTGACGGTCAATCTCACTATTCAATTAGAGAAGCCTAAAAGTTAGCAGTGGGTGTTGTTGACTAGCTGCCTTCCTTCTAGTCTAAATTAGATACGACTAATACAGATAGGCTATCTGAACACTGTCTACCGCTGGGAATGAACCACAAGTCAACAAATATACAAGTTACCATAAATAATATTAACTTTCGATCAAAGTAAGACCATAACTAACAATCAATCGAGTAATAAGCATATAACTAATTAAATATATTTTTGTAAGCAATATTCTTGATATTTTAATTTGTATATTAGCTACAGGGACATGATATTAAGTTAGGCTTAGAACTCTTAGAAAGTTCTAAGATTACGTCAACTTTTTCTCTTAAATTCAAAGATAGATTATAAATATGAGATAGTTGTGAACTAAATACAATGGAGAAATCCCACTTCTGACACCGAATGTTGTAATATTGTTTTTGTTCTTCCGTGGTCGAGTTATTTTAAATTATTTGGCGAAAATAACTCAAAGACGTAAAAATTAACAATTTAGTTTTTCCTTCCTTAACGTCTTTACAAACTGTCCTCACTATACAAAATTAATTGTAGTCCACGTTTACAATTATCGCTAATTGCACAATGTAAAAACAGACTTTCTTACACAAAGTAACTGAGTAAGCGAGATCGCTAAACACAGATCCAAATAATTCATGCACTGACTGATTCACTCTATTCTATCTTGAGTTTAATCTAGTTAAAAAATAGTTTAAAATGTATATCTTAATTTCTATGCTGATATCCCAGTTAATGTTGAATAAATAAAACTAATAGCTCCATTTTTTTAAAATGTGCTTATCTCGATAGGAATATGTATATAAATCACAACGTTAATTTTAATTTTAAAAAAATATTATTTTTACGAACTATATTTTAATTTATATCTTTGTTTTCCAGAGGGCACGTGATAGAATATTTAGAAATTTCATGAAAGTTATGAATCTGAAGTTTCCTGCAGTACATAGTAATAAGGATACGATACAAATACGAGAATCAATGAGAATTAAATGAATAATTAGTCAGCGTGTCAGTTTAGTGTTGGTAGAGAGAGTTATCAAGTCTATTCAATTGCTTAGTGAGTTAGTTAGCATCATAATTCTGAAAGTAAGTTTATTTGTGACTAAATCATATTGTTATGACGTCGGGGTCACGTGACGCTAGTAACACGTCATTGACTTCTAGAAATATCCTGTTCCTTCATGAATGCTCTAGCGTTTACTAGATATGTGTTAGTCTTGCATATATAAGACGGTCCCAACGTGACCGAACAATGTGTGTAATTGAACTGAGTATTGTTGAGTCGAGCACGTGAGACGTTCGTTGAGAATTATAGCGTTTGTTATAGCGCGACTGTTGAAATTAAGTGTATCGCAAAGTTATATTCAAAAATAATAAACCAGTTTTATTTAAGAAAGGACTTCTATTGGTAAAGTTCTTCGTAAAGAATTTTTATGGAAAATTTACGAACGAACGGAGACGTAACAATATCTACCATTAGTTTTGGAATTTCGGTTCAAACGTTCATTTGTAAAGTTATATTAACAAGAAACATAGCCTTTTCATGTAATAAATGTTATTGAAAAAATATATAAATTAGTTATCACCACATAGATTGGATTTAGTATTATTTTTACCAAATAATCCAAAAGAACTCACTGAAGGATGAAAACTTTGCAACATTATCCTGGCATGCAAAAGATTTAGAGACTGTAATGATCATTATGATTTCTTTTTTTATATAATACTAGCTGTGTACCCGTACGGGTTGTGTGTATAAATAATACTGTTACGTCTCCGTTTGTTAATTAACCTTCCGTAACTTCGTTCCGACGAAACTTTAGCGACACAAATCCTTAT